AGAATGCTTACAGGTGATATTTTTTTCTACCATCTATTGTACATAAAGCCACTCACTCAGAAACTGATTGATTGATTGATTGATTGATTGATTGATTGATTGATTGATTGATTGATTGATTGATTGATTGATTGATTGATTGATTGATTGATTGATTGATTGATTGATTGACATTTTGTTGAAATTTACTTGTAACTTCGGCTCAATTGATTGTATTTATTAAGGTACAGTATTTGACCATGTTTGTAGGGTTCTAAGAAAGAAGTGGGGCACTGTTACTTAAGTAATACTGGGAACCAAAGTTTAGATATTTTTTTATGCTGTATTTGGACAGGATAGCAGAAAATGGTTGTAGGGGGTCTCATTCTGGTTTCTTTACATATTATGTTGTTCTTGTTGTTTTTGAGTTACTGGCTTCAGTGGGCACTGGAAAAGTTACCAGTTGAGTATGGAGTAGTCAGGTTAGCTCCTCTAAGGCTAAAGCCATGGTTCTCTACAGAAAAAAGGTTGATTTACCTACATGGATGGATGGATGTATGGATGGATGCATGGACAGATGGAGGATGAGCAATAGTTATACTGTTTGAGAACCTTTAGAACTAAAATTGAAAATAAAAATTATAATTTTCAGATAAAAAAGTATATCTCTGCTAATGAAATGCGATAATTAATCTATTGCCATACTCAATTACATAATTTTCACTAAAACAAATACCAATATTTTTTGTTTTTTTTTGGAAAGTAATGAAATCCATCATAGCTGTTTATGAAATAAAAAGTTTTTTTTGCCTTGTTTTTGCTTTTCAATGATGTCAGTGTTGTCTTCCAAACACAGCAGAAAAGATCTTTGCCTAAAGCCTAAACACCCCACACCTACATCTGAGAAAGATCCTCAAGTGGTGTCCTGTGTGGACAAGAGTTGGTTAGATATGATACATGACTCCATGTCTGCAGGTGTATGAATTCAATCATACTTTAACTCTGGTTTTCTGTCTGTCAACTTGAGAAAGGAAAATATCATTAGGCCAAGTTTTCCATGGATAAATGTTGCTATCAAGGGATGTTATAAACCCTTCACATCATCAGAGAGGTATCACTTTGCAGAGCTGAGTATTGCATGTGAAAGGCTACACTTTACCGTAGTGGATCCCAGTGGATATTAACCTAACAGCTAAGGACTCCAGTGGGCACCTTAGCAGATCTTCTTTATTGTGCTCCTAATCAGTGGGTACAAATATGATCCGGTTGATGTGAACCTTTCAATGAAGTTTTGTAGAAAAGGGATGCAGCTTGTCTACACTGCATGCAATTTGCAGATTCTTTACACTGTATTGTGTACGCTGACAGGTTTGTGATTTGTTTGCACTTCACGGGCGTCTAATTGATTAAGATTAAAGGAGAGAACCGTTGGTGTAGCTGTCGGAGGAAACTCCTGCCACTTTTGTGTTTGTACGTGCCCCTTCTTTTTTAAAGTGCGACTACACATCTAACATGAGCCAACATGGGCCACATGCTGGCCTGCATACTGGTTCACATGCACTGCATGACACAGCAGCTGAATAAAGCCATCACTTGCTCACTAAACAACCGGCCCTGTGGCTTTGCTGTGTGTTCCAAGAGAGCTCTGCCAAACCTTACATCCACACAGGAGTTCCTATTGCACATTTTGTGGACCAATTGTTATTAAAAAATAGATTAAGTGAAGCTTTCCAAAGACTATTTTGCATTTAAAAGTAATATGCAGTAGCAATCATACCACAAATGCTGTTTGATGTAACATTGAAAGACAGGATTATATAAAAATCTAAAGAGGTTTACATTCGCGGTGAGAACTTATAATGGAATGAAGGCCCAAAAGATCACTTCTTTTAATTAAACCATTAATATGAAGTGGGTTTTATGACAAAGAGAAAATATTATGGCAAAGTCAAAGAAGTGGTTTTATTTTCCACTGCAGGCTAAAGAAAAATACTACAAAGAAGCAGAACTGAATCCTGTCCTACTCCACTTGCTTTGATAGTGGACCACCATGTTATAAATAATGTATTAAAGGATTTGCAAAGCAGAGAAAGAGAGCTGCTTTCAGGGCAATGAATGTTCCTTCACTTCTGTGATGAGAAAAAAATGTATGTTAACTCTTTGCAGCACAGACTAGAGGTATAAAAGACCTTATATATTTTCTTTTGTATTGTTCAAGTTAAGAGAGTGTTTGGTTTCCTTTTTCACAGTTTTTGATAGCTTATTTTTCTGCCAAAAAAAGGTGTTCATGGCCTACTGGGACCACTTAAAAGTTTATGCAGAGCACTGGCCAAGTTGCACAAAAAAAGGAGCCTTGAAGTATACACACAGTCACACACTGGCCCCTTTCTCAGAACCTCTCAGCTCTGGTTTTGGGGGGAGTGTTGTTGGTTTATGAGAGGGGAAAATAGCCCCAGCCTCCCGTAAAAGTGAAATGGGATTAAGGCCTTTGTTCGGCCCACAATGGTGAGGGGAATTAGCAATAGTTGTAGGCACTTAGAAGAGCTCTCACACTGAAGCTTATCCCAGATTTTGCACAATAATCATTTGAATATCAACAGTGTTTTGCAACTACGGCGCTAATGTATAAACCTCTCTCTTTAGGATACTGAAATCCCCAAAAGAACTTTATAGCAGTGGCTACATCACAAATATGGATGCTCTTATATTGAAAATCATATTTTCAACCCTTTATTGTAGAAAGTAAAGTGTAAAATAGATTAAAAATAAAGTGAAGCATATTCAAGTTTGTGCGTTTAAAACTTTTTCTTTATTATATAAAAATATTATAAAGTATTTTAAGGGACTGAAACAGTTTAGTTTTTCACATCGTATTGTTTTGGTTATTTCTCATAAGGCAACTAAACTTTATAGCGCTTACAGAGCTGGCCCAAGGTTTTATAAGGCCATGGGCAGAAATTTATTCCATGACCAACAGCCCCCCACAGCACACCTCCTTTATATATTGTCCTTTTTTGATAGTTATTGTATTTTTTATTTAGTTCTCCTTTGGGAAAAAGCAGCTATTTTAAAACAGAATTTAACTGAATTATCATTAATTATTTTGTGCCAGCTATGCATTTTATAACCTGTAGGAAACAATAGGTCCCTTTAGATTATTTAATAAATAAACAACACCTCAATAAATGATCACTATAAAACATTTATTTTGTTTCTCTCTCTGTCTCTCTCTCCCTCTACAAATATATATATATATATATATATATATATATATATATATATATATATATATATATATATATATATATATATATATATATATATATATATATATATATATATATATATATATATATATATATATATATATATATATATATGTATAGATTCTATGAATCTAAGCTCAGAAGACAGCTGTTCTTTTTTGTTCTGTATGTAAAATGTAAGTGTGAGATATTTCTAGCGGTTGGTAATAAAATTCTCTCCGCTGATATTTCTAAAAGAGTTTTCTTAACTTTTCCAGTTAAGTGAAAGAGAAAGGTGCGAAAAGTTACAATCAATAAAATTGAGTGATTTCATAAGACTATACTGTCCTCCCTATGAATGCATTGTTCGCAACATATAATGTCTGCATTAAAAGTGATAGTTTTATTTTAATTTGACCAGAAATTGAATGTTGGATTTAGAAACCTGTTCTTTGGATTGAATCTATATAGTCTGATTTTCCCATTTTTATCTGAATAATTGAAATCTTTAAGTTTTAGACATGCAGCTATATATAAATACCTGCATTTGTCATCCTGTGTTGTGTAAATTAAAGTCCTTAAAGGGCACCCCAGTCAACCTAAGGTCCCTAGCCGATGTTTAGCCCAGTTACACTATGGGCTGCCCCTGAATAAGATATGTAGAGAGACATTAACTGTATTTACTATTATCAACGTTTCCTATTAAGATTATTAAAGCTTATTATATCACTCAACTCTACATAAATGCCAAATAACTTCTTCAATACAGTTTTTTTTTTTATCAAATTTTTTAAATTCTAGTCGATGTAAGAACATTGATACTCTTAGACGTGCTTCCTTTTGAGCAATTCCAGCCTTATTTGAAGAATCAAAGACCCGTTTGACTGCTCAGCAATGAGCTGGGTCCAACGACACATTGGACTCTCACAGAGGAGAGAAAGTTGAGAGCTTCTGTCTTAGTTGTGTCTCACACGACTAGTCCGTAAAAGAGAGATGGCCTCAGCATTTTTTTGCCCACACACTGAAAACGTATTGTCCAAATCACAAAACATTGAGTGAGATCAGCAGACTTGTCAAGAGGCCCTGGCTTGAATATGAATGATGAGAGAAGAGCAGGGTGGTCCTCATGCTGTTTTGGTGTTAGGCAGGTGAACATAAGCTTAACTGTCTTTGGCAGCTGTCCATCGCCAAATCAGCAGAGTTTACCACTGTAGAAAAGAGAGGGAGAGAAAAACACAGCCATTTAGCACTTTCATGTAAATTAGCTCCAGAAACTGAGAGAAAGCATCTGCAGCCGCTGGTGAAATTCTGAAAATATTTTGTTTTTTTAGTTATTGCTAATTAATAAGTGCTAGTATGGAATCGTGGCTCAGTTTTCCTCAATTTTGTTCAACTTAATCTCTCATGGAGAGTTAAAACTGAAATTTGGGTTTTCAAAGTTTACTTAGGCAGAAGTATATGTTTTTTTTTCTTGTTTTTTATCTGTCGATCTGCTGAAATTGAGACATCACACCTCCCCTTCTTTCCTGTTCTTAACACATGCACGCACGCTGGCTCAATTCACTCAAGTGTTCGCATAGTTCCTCACATTCAACTGGATACAATGATGCACAAGATGAATAAAGTTATCTCTGCAACTGAAAGGGATGTTGCTGGAGGGAGTGAACGGGGAGGTTCCCCCTGCGCTCCAGATCCTGAAAAGAGCCAGGCTTTGAGGGCCGCTGCAGTAGAGGTCAGGGCCCCAGCTGCTTTTAGGGGTGAAAGGGACACTGGCGGGCTGGACCGATTGTGAGAACAAAAAAAAACAAAGCAATCACGTCAAATAAAGACATCTCAGATTGGACACTGACAGATGCCTTCCCAAAGTCGCAGAACTCACTCGGCTCAAACTTTGTTTGGTTTGTATCACGTTGAACAGTCTGAGTCCCACCTCACATGAGCCTGACATATAAATCTTAGGGTTTGTTGTTTTAATTTCGGAGTCTGAAAGCAGCATTTCTACACAGGTAGGATTTGTTTAAGTTATTTTCTAGTGCAAATATAAAATGAAACACTTAAGATGTTTTTCTTCATTTTTTTTAAAAGGCAGTGCAAATGTTTTAAATGGGTGATTTTTCAATGCGTCAGATTGTGAAAATGCTTCTTAGATAGAACTTTTAGATCTATAATATGGCTGGTGCTTCAGTTTTCCTTTTTTTTTTTTTTTTCTAAAAAACAGACATTAAAACACCTCCCTGTCTCTGAGTTTACAGATTTCACAGAGTGCAGAAATTTGCTCTGGGTTTAAATTTGCAGGGGGTAAGTAGGATAATAATCAGGCCACATTATGAGGAACCGATTGTTCATTTTCTCCATCAGCAGCAGCAGCGAAGCTTTGCCCAGAGATGTGCCGACCTGTGCAGATGGGGTTCAAAGCCAATTTCCATGTTAAAAACTCTGCACGCTTCAGAAATCCTTCCTGACTGACTCTTGTTGATCAGAGTGTGCGACAAGGCTGTCTTTTTAAAGCAACCGGAGGCAGATGTAAGCGTACAAATGTACAACAAACAGCCTAGTTCTGAGTGGAGTAATGGTGTTGTTTTCATGCATGCCCTGAGGCAGTGACATGAAGACAAAAGATGGTTCTGAAGCATGCTGTCAAAATGGGAAATATGGTCCATTACATGTGTCATACAGTAATTACGCAAACTGTTAAAAAAAAAAAAAAGTAGGGCCCTTTTTTATTTTATTTTATTTTTTTCAAAATTTTCCTTCATCCAATATGTGTCAAGTGTCATTACAAAGCTTTAATTCTTTTCAGAAAATCAGTTCAGCCATTCATCATCAGCTCACATTTACATTTACTTTCCTTCACAGACTCTCCAAGGAGAAGAAAGAGATCACTGGAGTGGTGGGAATTTGTTTGATTAGTTATGAAATGAACACATTTTTCCTTTTATCATCTCTACCATTTTGTTATGTTGGTCTTTATCTTGCTGTCAATTGCAGCCTGATTTTTCATTTTGTTTTGTTTTGCCTGACACAAACCATTTGCACGAAGATATAAGTTAGGAGCTGAATATAATCTTTACTGGACATATTTTTTAAAAGGGAAAAAAAACAGAAAAGTTTTTTTTTTCAGTTCTTTGTTCACTGCTATCACAGGACTCTAATGGTGTCTATGCTATAAGCTTCCAGCCCTCTTCGTTGCCATGCTGGTTATAATATAGCCATTGAAACGCCTGCTTGCTGCAGAGTATTAAGCAATGGCGGAAACACAATCTTTGGTGGGCTCCTAACAATAGATAGGAGGCATGATGACTTATTAAACACAGCCAACCTTGCAGCATGGCTTTTCTCATTATCTTTTTCAATTCCCAGCCTCTAAAGCCTGCGGATCCGGCGACAAAACTCTCCGCCGTGTAATTCTCTTGCAGGCTCCTTTCATCAGCCGATTTCGCAGAGAAATATGAAGCTGATTTTATCGCACTCTATAAATTCACAAAAGGCCCCCTCGAGTTGCCCCCATGGAAGGCATACCTCATCTCAGTGATGTGCCACCACTATTGCTGATCCCAGGCATATGATAAGAGAGTCTCGTCTTTTTTTTTTCATGATTTGACAGACACCAGACATGAGCCTTATAGACATACAATTTTTAATACACCTTTCTTTGCGTGTTTACACCGCGGTGCTTAGATGAAAAGAAAATATCGATTAAAGCTTTCTTTTATTTGATTAGGTGATATATATATATATATATATATATATATATATATATATATATATATATATATATATATATATATATATATATATATATATATATATATATATATATATATAAACTATTGCAGCTTTCAGATGAAGATTCACATATTATGTTGTAACCAAAACATTTAGCTTTTTTTTTGTGGAAGTAAAAAAAAAAAGCTTTATAACACCAAATGTACCGCATTCGATAGGAATATTACTTTAATAACTTTCCTCAAAAATGTGCTAATCTCAAGAACAATTAAACCCAGATAAATATATTTCCCCTGAGCAATTTAAGATTTGCAATATTTTCATATGAGCAGGAATTGAGCTTAAACACAATAACAACAATCTCAAGCAAATAAAACAATGTTACTTAAATATCATCAACAAAAAAATTTATTAAATTTTCTTTGTTTTTACTGACATATTATTTTCTTATCTTTTCAGTAATTAATAAAAAAAAATATTTGAATTGAAGGCATCACACCTTTTTTTCTGCTTTCTGGTCATTTTTTTTTCTTTTTAGTTTTTTTGTCAAGTGGTACAGTACATTTAAATATTACTCTTTGGCAATTTTTATGTTTGGAGGGTGTCCTTACAATCACTTAATCTTTATTTATCACCACAGATTTTTTATCAGTTCAAAGTTTAGAGCTATAGGTAGGCGACTAAAAAAATTCTTGTCAGTTCAAATTCAAGAACAGCAATATAAAAGATTTTGGTCTTTTCTACATTTTCCACATCATCAATGAAAATGCCCTTCAAGTGTTTTTATGTGTGTTTTTTTTTATTATAATTATTTTGTGTAATAAGCAATTAACAAAGCCTCTTGTATCACTAAAGATAGCGGACAAAGCATTGAAATCAATGTTTTCTTAAAAGCACCCATTTAACATTTTTTTATCAAAACTAAAAAAGGCATTTGATAATACTTACCAGGGAATCTGAGGGACAAGTATTATCATATGATTTTAAATGCAATACTTTTAAATCTTTCATCAGTTTTCCTTACAAGGGTTTTGGCATGTTCTCTGCATCCTTGCATGCAGCAGAGATCGTTGTCTTTGAAATGTTTTGACTGTGGTGTCACTTTTTGAAAAACTTTCATCATGCTTGGGTATCTAATCAATTGAAATAGAGCTGCTTTAGCCTCGAGCTGAGGTGTAACTTTGACCAGCTTTTATCAGCTCAACACTCCTCTCTCTCTTCTTATTATTATATAAAAAAAATTAAAGTCCTTTCACGGTGAAGATTTTAGTCAGAATGCGATACGCTGCTTCTCCCTCAATTTTGAGCCAAATTTAAAGCAACAGCATTTTAGCCATATGACTATTAACAAAACTACATGCACATATCTCTTAGAATGTTTAAAATGTGGCTGATCAATTTCCCGGTATGAATTAGATTTCCTAAATTATAATGTTTAATAATGATACCTTCCAATTATACATTGCTGTCAGCCTTCTGTTAAGTCTTACCAAAAAGTTTAAGCCCTGAACCTGATTCATATTTGCTGTTTTCACCTCCACTGGAGAAAAAATATTATCAGCAATAATCACTGTCATCATTGTGATCCCCTCCGTGGTCTGTTGGCTCCAAATAAGTAATTTAGTTGTAAAGCAGCTTCATATATTTTGCCTGTTCATTTCTTCTTCCTATCATATATCTAAATACAAATCTTTATTTTATAACTGACAGCTTATTACCTCTGAGCACATGCTGATAAATTTAATTCCAATGAGTTAGCCTCCATTTTGCCATCCCATTATCCCCTAATGTGGCAGCAGGCTGTGCAGGGAGAGACAACTATTTCATTATTATTATATTAATAGTATTATTTTATTACTAAATATATATTCTTTCTTTTACATTGATTTGTTAGGGGAAAATGTTAAACATTTTAAAAAAAGTATTTTATACAAAATGTTCTCTTTTTTATTTTTTTTTTTTACTTACCTTCTTACTTAATTAGAATCCAATTATAACCAAGTTAAAAGCTTTCTTTTTTAATGATACATTTTTATTTTTCCTTTTTTTTTTTTTTTTTTTACTTCTAGTCTATTTTAGAGTGGACGTCCCTTTCTGAACACAACCTTTCTAACCAAGCAACCTTCCACCTCAGTTGGGTCTATTTTGGTGAAGCAACTAAAGTAAGTAAACAGTTATTATTAGCTTTGATGTTGGCCTGAATGGCACTCAATTAACAATGTGGCTAATGAGCCCATTAAGGATGAAAGCGTTCTCAACAGGTATGAGAGGATACTGCTGTTTTTGGAGACTTAGTTCTCAGCACTGAATGCAGCATGAATAACGGTGCTCTTTCTCAATTGCTTCAAAGGCCAAAGCTCCACAGCCCAGAGAGCAGAGTTAAATAAAGGTTTGCTTGCAACAGAAAAGAGAAAAAGAAACAAAAAAAAACTAATAAATATTTTGCATTTGTTTTACATTTATGAATGTGTAAAAGCAGCCCACTCCATGCAAAGTTAGGTTTGCATGAAGTGGAGATAAAAAAAAAAAACTATCATCTCTCGAGATTTTGAAAGCCAAATATTTTTCTTTCTCTCTCCTAGAGGAGGAACTCCAGTTGTTTATTTTTTTATTTTTGTGCAAAATTTGCTTCTGATTTTTTTGAACAAATGTTGAGTTTTCCTTTCCATCTAAGAATGATTACGATGCAGTGCAAATAAGGCCTGTCTGTGGCAATGAAAGCAAAGTAAAGAAAGAAGCCCTTTATTTCTGCAACAGCAGCATTTCCTCTGAGGGACATTCCACTGAAAAACACTAAAAGTCTCCTGTTTGGATGATTTCCATTTTATTTGCTGCTAGATTCCAATAAGATCCTGTCAGCTAGCAACAACATATCAGTGTTTTTTTGTGTTGTTTTTTTTTTTGAATGTTTCTTATGCACCATAACTATTTCCACTCAGTTAAAGACAAACAAAAATATTGTAATTCTCACTTCTCTTCCTTATAAAAACTGCAAAATTGTGCGTTATATAAATATTGTTATATTAAATCATGTTTACTGAAGGAAAAGCTGTCACTATGTTTGGATTCATGCTGTTGAGTATAGCAACAATGTTTATGGGCATCCAGGCAGATAACTGAATTATTTCTAAAAGTTAGAAAAAAAGGCTAATTTAATTCCTAAACACTTACTTTGCACCAAAATGTTACACAAAGTAAATATAGGAGGGCAACAAAATAATGTGTCTTTTTGTAAAATCTGCCTGTTTGCTGAAGTTTCCGAATGTTATCAGTAGTTTTAGCTCAAGAATACCTTGAGGTGTTTTTTTTTTCCTTTCCTTTTCTGCGTAAATCCGTCTAAAGCTGCCAGCGCTGACATACACAGCATATGCTAAATACAGATAAGAGCATTTTTTTAATAGATCGGCAAAAAGTCTCCCCCACATAGCTCAATGGATGGGCTTTGAATGCAGTAGATAAGTTGGCTTAAGCTGAATGCTGTATCCCAGTGCAACATTGTGCAACTGGGTGAGCCCATCACAAAACTAGCATTCCAGTAAAGACCACTTCCAGGGGAGGGATTATAGAAAAGCTTTCAAGATCAGCTTCATGTCTTGCTGGAGTTTATGATTATTAATACTGCTGTATGACAGGAGAAGAAAATAGGCGTTGGCAGGGATCATGTGGCCAAAATTCTTTAAACCACTATTTACCTACAATGTCAAATAAAATAGTGTGGAAGGAATATTTTTGTTGTTGTCTTGCTCACCTAACTTTTTAAGTATTTTGTTCTTTGTTGACTTTGTTAAAATGATAAAGCATCACTATAAAGAGTCTATAAATATAAATGTTTTATATCAAAAAGGTTGAGGCTGAGGTCATAAAGTTGCCTTTTTTACTGTTGGTAAATTTCTATGATAGATAGATAGATAGATAGATAGATAGATAGATAGATAGATAGATAGATAGATAGATAGATAGATAGATAGATAGATAGATAGATAGATAGATAGATAGATAGATAGATAGATAGATAGATAGATAGATAGATAGATAGATAGATAGATAGATAGATAGATAGATAGATAGATAGATAGATAGATAGATAGATAGATAGATAGATAGATAGATAGATAGATAGATAGATAGATAGATAGATAGATAGATAGATAGATAGATAGATAGATAGATAGATAGATAGATAGATAGATAGATAGATAGATAGATAGATAGATAGATAGATAGATAGATAGATAGATAGATAGATAGATAGATAGATAGATAGATAGAGAATGTTGGACTGGCTTTGTTTCTTTAAGCTCTCCTCAGGTCATCTGATTATGTGGCTGAAGAAATGAGAGGGGCCAGATAAGCCTCTTTTATTCCTCCAAGCCACTCATAGAGCTGAAGCACCAGCTTCTGTCGCCGTGCTGTGACAAGGGAAGAAAACAAGTCCTTGTGCTAGATAAAACTGCTTCTCGGTAAAATGTGCTTGTTCAAACCCGAAACACATGTATGAACCAATTTAATAGTTGTTTTCTGTGTAACATGATTTTCTATGTAAAATGAAATTAACTTTCCATACAGTTTCACAAGCTGAACTTGTTTGGATTTACTGTGGGATTTAAAACTGCTATCTTCTGTTTTCAACTGCCGGATTAAGCTTTAAAGATTTCGCCTGTCTTGATTGTGGCGCATTGCAAATAAAATAACATCTAAAATTGCATCTCATTCAGTAATATGTAAATGTCCCCAGTTGCTACTACCGGTCACGAGGGCATCTCTTCTCTGCCTCCTTAATAAAGCTGTTCTGCAGGCCTCTACTGTAATATATTTCCCCAATAAAGCAATTCCAAAGCCAGTCTGGCCTTTTGACCAGCGCTGAGAATGTGGAAAGCAGCAGGCTGCCTTTGCTAACTAGGCTTTACTCTCTAATATTAGATACCTGTCCCTTGGCTTTTCAGAAGGGTGGGGGTGTGGGGCTTAGTGGTTGATATTTTCATTTGGTTCTGCCAAGATGCGACACCCCTGCTTTAATCTTGTGTTTGACGTTAAGCGCTCTGTTCATGGAGAGTCTTGGCGAACTTCAACCTTGAGTGTTGCTGTAATACAAAAAACTGATGCCAGAGGAGTGTGTGTGTGTGTGTGTGTGTGCGTGTGTGTGCATGGGGAGGGGGGTAGCAGCTCTGTATAGCCTTGACCTCTCCCGTTGGCACGCCAAAGTCTTTCTCGTGTCCTTCTTAATCAGGAGGGACTCTCCCTTTTAGAGAAGATTGTATATTTTTAGCATCTTGCTGGTATTTTCTACTAATTGACGCACGTGGCTAAAGAAAAGACAAGGATTTTTTTTTTTATCTGGACCAATATGGGAATAACTTTTCTGTCTTTAGTTTCATGATTCTGAAGAAGCTTCCATCATGTATCATCTCGGATGAGAAATTCAGAGTTTTGATTATGTTTTCAAGACCAGAGCAGCAGTGATATCAAGCAAGTTCCCAATAAGAGGACTTGAGAAAGAAGGAGTGGACTGTTGAATTCCCCATCATGAGAGGCTACCCCTTCTGACAGCCTCGCTGGGATTGTGCACCGCTTCCATGTTAGCGTTTATCATGATGTTGAGGACAAACAAGCCACTTCTCTGCAATCATTAAAGGTGCGCTTCCCCAACTGATTGATGTGCGGGAATCAATTGCTCCCCATAGCATCCATGTCAGTCTATTACACCACAGCTGGGTAATGACAGGCTGTTCTCCACAAGATTATAGAGCATTGTCACAAAGCAACAAAGACTTGCTTCCCTTTTTTCTGACCTGGTCTGTGATAATTGGAAATAGCTTCATTTTTACACCAAAGGAGAAAACAATTGCATTGATGGAAGGATGCTTTTTTTTTTCTTTTTTTTTACTATTTAAAAAAAAGGGTTGGATGCAGTCATTTTGTTATTATGAATTTGTCATCTGAATAAAAATCCATAAAAAAAAAATCCAAGTTTACTTTTAAACTGTAAAAAAAGAAATTCATCACACTGAAGTATAAAAAAATGAAAAAGTGATGCGCTCATACCCACTACCCTTTACTTTGATATCCTTAAATAAAATTAAAAACAATCAGCTACCCTTAAATTTAAAGCTTGGATGCTGTTTTAAAACCTGATTCATCTTCAAATTTTGCCATATGTTTTCCTGACTTGTCCACTGTTTTCTTGTGTTGACATAATGCCATTTGATCTCTGAGACCACAACAAAGCAGCTGAGGTTTTTGTGACACTAAGCTGAACTTTATTTCAGAGCAAGGGGGATACCTGAAAGCAGTTTGTTGTACTTGATTTTATGTAGAAGTATAAAGTCTCTCAGAAATGCATTAACACTTTTGCTTTTAAAGCACTTTTTTTTTAGCTTGAGCAGTTTTGATACTTCTTCAAGGGTGACTTTTGCAGCAAAAGCTTTTATATTCAGAGGAATTGAGTAAAATCCACTGAATGAAGGGTGTAAGAGCAGAATAGGCTGAATATGAATGAGCTCCACAATTGTCAGAGCTTCTAATGTTTGGCAATAAGTTATCATTTCCCCTCCAGTTAAATTAAACTTCTTTGTGTTGCTCTATCACACAAAAGTGGAATGAAGTGCAAAGGTGTTAGTAGTTGTAATAAAGCAAAAGGTTTAAAAAAGTTCAAAGTGTATGAACATGTTTATAAAAGAAGTGTTTTCCCATCTACTTCTTAATTACTTCTTTTATGTTGTTCTATTTTATATAAACTCAGAAAGGTACACTGAAATTGTTTTTGTAGGAAGAAGTTTGAGTTGTATGGATACTGCAAAGCGCTGCTCTACTATCACCCCATGCTTTCCAATCCAACCATGTTTGAAATCACCAAAACAACAGGTGTTTTCTCCCTCTGAGGAACTGTTCTTTTTAATGCCCTGTGGATACCCTGCAGCTCTGTCCCTGCCAGACTGAGTTTCATCCAAAGCACCAAGTGCCAGCAAGCAGTCCTGCAACTCAATGGTGCAGCAATCACCCTTGAACCTGATAAGACATCATCAAAGATAATTATTTATACAATCTGATTATGTGTTAGAGCTTGAATGAGATCAACATGCCTGCCACTGCAGCATTCCTCTGAAATACCTAATTGAAAATACTTTTCTTTTTTCAGCTTTACTTGGTTTAATGCAGCCATTGCCGTTTTCCTCGGGTTGACCTCAATCACTGGAGCAGGACTGCAGTGCGTGCTGCATTTAATTATCTACAGTGAATTTGATTATCAGGAAATATGGTGCATATCAAGTGAATTCCTGCCCTCTAGAAATATTTATTTTCTGTATGGTTAAAGTTGGAAAAGGATGACATGGGAACTTCAGTCGATACAAAAGGCGCCAGCTAATGAGACTGGTTAGTGATTCAAATTTATGGAAATTTTATTAATTACAGAAACCTATCTTTCATCCGTACCATTTGGTTCGTGAAGTAATTAAAGCCAACAATGGCTGCTGCTGCAGTTAAGGAACCAAACAAGATCAAAGAAGACGGAGCATTGAGGAGAAAGTCCTGCATATCCTGATCCGGGCCTAGCCGTGGGCAGCATGGCCTCATTAAAACCAAATCGAGCTGATCATCAATTAACCTGCTTTGTTTTGCTTCTGATTTGTAACTTGCATCACAACAGTTCCCCAGAGTTAAAAGTTTTTGCCAGAGGGGAAGGAGGCTTATAAGGGCTGTCTTTGTGGTAAGGAGGGACGACTTTTGATTGGTCGACTAGAGAGAAAGCATGACCTTTACCTCTCTAAGGACTTAATAAACATTCAGAAGAATTTTACATTTTAACCTAAATCTCCAGTCATCGTTGTTTTTGATGTAACAAGTGAAAATTGAAACAACGCCAAAAAAAAACACAAATCATCTAAACATTTGTTTCTAATTTTAGTCACTTGAACAAATTGATGTTTATGAAACATTATGTTACAAATTTAATTACTTTCACAACATGCAGGAAAAGAATGCAAACATCAAATTTGTGACTGTTGATCAAACTTGACTGTTGTCACTGTTTTTCAGATGAAGAAAATCAAAGGAAAACATTTGATGCATTTTATTTTTATGTGAAGTATATAAATATATTTCCTTATAAGGTGTGTTCTGAAGGCGACTGCCTGCTCTGAATTTTATTTAAAGATATCCAAGGAAAAATGAGTCCAAATTCATGCCCCGCTTTTGAGTTATGTGTTTGTTTGTTTTTTCCATTTGTGATGAATTTCTAAAACCATCAATCCTTTTTCGTCCAGCATCACAACCACACAGGACACTGCTTTGATGAGATGATCTGTTTGTATTGATCTGTCACATAAGAATATATTAAGTACAGGAACATGGCAAAATATGTCAAATGAAATAAAGAAAAAAATAATCACTTGACCTGAATTAAAGCTTAGTGAATACATACAATACAATAGCTTGTCATGTATTGAGTTGGTAGGAAAAGGAAATTTCAACCTTTTAAACAAATTTAACATTTTTCCTATGGTTTGACAGTATGACAGTATAACCAAGCACCCAATATATTTATGAAGTCTCTTTCTAATCAAATACTAAACATTGTTGATAGAAGCAAGTAAAATAGGACTAGAGCGACAATCTACAGAAGAAAAAAAACAATTTTAAATGGTAACTTTATTGTTTTTTATCATTTAAAAGTGTCAAACTCTACAGGACAATAATAATATATTATAGAACTGCTATAGACCTATGAGAGCTGCCTCTAAAGCATCATCTCATCTTTAGAAAGCTATTATAAATGTTACTATTTTTTCTTAACCTGTTTAGATTTAAAGATCTGAAAGGAAACATGCTCTCATGACTAGAGTTTTTTTTACATATGATGCTTTTTTAAAATGTCCTCAACCTAGTGGCAAAATTTTTCATAGTTATTAATTTTCTTATATATTGCTTTTTATTGGTTAGCCCTTTTTTCTAAAAGTTTTTATTATTGTTTTTTTTTTTTTTTTAACAGAAACGCCAACCTAGGGACTAGGTATGCTAACTGGTCAGATCCTGTAAGGACTGTTTGGTGTGTACTGTCCTTGTCTTTTATTGAATATCCATCAATAAAACAATATTTGTCTAAAACTGATCATTATTTTGTCATTTCTGTAGAAAAAAATTACCTCCTTCATGTTTTTGTCAGAATTAAACAATTTCATGACTTAAAGTTGATAATGATAAACTTAAATGACTGTTCACCAATACACATCACATGACCTCACATTCTGTTTAGATAACAAATGGCTGGCCCATCTTTACTTTTATTATTTGCAAGGGAGGTCACATTTAAAATAAGGGATTAGCTGCTCATCACAATATTGGTGGATTATCAACTACCTGCAATGAAAGCAAGCCCTGGCTTTGGGTCGATAAGAGTTTGACTGCATTTCGAATTAATTTTCTTGAGCTTAGAGAACCAGCCTCCTATCTTGTTATTGATCAAAGCCTTAATCCATAACCAAGCTCATCCTCTTCTCGTGGAATGAGCTGGAAAATATAAAACCATTGCTACGAGGGGGGATTCTTGACTCTGTTCTAAAAACTGGAAGCGACTTATGAAGCGATTTAGACTTCATTATTTAAGAATTTGTTCCCAGACTATTGTTTCACTGGCGGGTTCAGCCGGTATTGATCTGCTTTTTGTTTGTTGTCCTTTTGACTCTTTTTTTTTTTTTCTTTCTTTTATGTAGGGTAACATTTGTTCAGCCCCCTTCTCCTTTTGGGCTGGATCTGTGTTTACATAACGACGGATTGATTTCTAAGGGGAAACGGGATCGGCCCCCCAACACACCTGAGCTGCTTTCTGTTTGTCTTTTCCAACAGAGGGACCTCCACTGTGGATGAAATTTAGTCACAACCCTCCTGACCTTTCAGGTTCACCATTTGTCTCCAGTCCAGTGACCACAAACAACTCCTGGTTTGCTGTAAATGTCAGTGCAGCGGTGTCCCCGCCCTATCCTCTGTGAACCACAGAGCTGCATTCAACCTGCACTAACAGGACAATTTCATGAGGGCTCCACTATCAGTTAGGCTAGGTTTGATAACTCAGGATTCCTTCTTATGATGTATCTATAATCTGAAAAGCTGTCATCTGTTAGACAGGGAGGAATCTTTTCTACTTTTTTACTTTTTTTAGCCCACTAAAAAATCATACAGGTTACTTCAAAAGTATAGATTATTTGAAATAATTTGACCCATTTACTGCACCAAACCTTGTTCACCATCAATCATAATTGTCAGATGTAATAGATTGTAATTTATGTCCTGAAGACACTGGTTGTAATGCATTCCATTTCGAAGCACTTTGGCTCGCACTTCCCCCCACCCATAAACAGACACACTCCCTTTTCTCTGCTCGCCGGGCCTCCTGAGGTTGGTGTCTCTGCTTTAGGACTCCATTGTTGCCTGCTGCTGGATAATGCCCTTATTAATTGTACCTCTTTGTAAGGTGTCAGCTGTAGCCTCAGATTGAGATGGATGGATCTCTGGAGTCTGCTTCCCTGGCCCTCCACAGACTCACTATCTCTGCACAGCACGCAGATGCAACAGCGAGCGCTGCTACATATAACTAAAAATCTTGATAAAACGGGCATTTTAAGCATTGCACAAGAAAAGGCCTCTAACTAAAACCTAAAATGGAATTTTCTCCTATTTCCAAGATGGGTTAGAACCTATGGTGGGATCAATAACAGAGCTGAAATATATTATTTCATTTTGATTATTTCAATGTATTGAAGATATGCTGCTTAATTAGGTGCATTGAAGCCTTTGTGAATTCAACTACATTGACATCAAATCCTCTCGCCTTCATTAAAGGAAACAGATTCAGTTTAATTAATGCATATTAATCCCCACTGATACTGGTTTTTAGCTTTGAGAAAAGTGTGGCAGTGGGTGTTTGTCCTCTCATAAAAAGCAAGGTTTGATTGCTTCTTTAAAAATAGGACTTCAATTTGGATTTTTTTTTTCAAATACTTTTGAATCATCTTTAGATTTATTATGTATTACATAAACTGTGAAAAGTTAATTAGGATACCTAATTAAAATTATATTATTGACAATCCATTTTACATCAGTTTGTTTTGAGATAAAAAAACATGCATTTTGTTATATTTTTTAGAGTATAGTAGCCTTATTTCTTTGTTTCTCAAATACTTAATTTATTTTCATAGAATTATGTAATCAAACAGAACAAAACATAAAATTCTACACAAATTTGAATATATTAAAGATTTGCACTTCAATAATACAAATCAAAACCTTTGTTGCATAATAACAAATTCAGGCAGAGGTATATTTTAGAACAGGGGATAGTACCTCCAGGGATCATGTTTTTTGTATTTTAATGACCTACAATTGCAGAACAGGGTCGTTCTAATCTAAAATGACATTGAAATGTCAAAGCTTATGTTGTGACATTATTACTCATTTCAACAAAAACTTTAACTGTCTGTCTGTTTCCGGCACATTTTTCATTAAGATAAGTTTGCATTTCATTTAAGATTGTTCGTGATGATCAGATTAGTGATTATAATCAGGTAAGAGTAGTGATTATTGATTATAACATTACTCAAGTTAAAGTAGAAATTATAGTGAAGCAAAGCTGTTGCTTATATATATATGTATATATATATTGTGTATATATATTGTGTATATATATATATATATATATATATATATATATATATATATATATATATATATATATATATATATATATATATATATATATATATATATTTAGAAGTAACTCATGTAAATATAAATTTGTTACCATATCTAGGCACTATTTACGATCAGACATATAAACTGAATATACCTTTATGGGGAATTAGCAATTTTATTTCATACGAAAAAATATATATTTTAGTCCGAGTACTTTAAAAAAAAAAAATATTATTATTCTCTATAATTTGCTCTATAATTTTTTTTTTGCTATGCTTCTGAGATTTTTTGATCAAATGAAAAAGTTATTTTTCACCTTTTTTCATAATGCTTACTTTAGTGATTTTTCTGAACAGTCTTTCCAATTTTTGGTGAAATAATCCTTTGTGATTTAGTTGAAAGGTGTGCGGGAGCAGAGATTCCTAGGCTGCCTTACTTTTGCTGTCTTACAGCCTTGATTAACCATGGAGAGTCCAGTTTGTTGCATAAATTAAGCTGCAAAAACAAAATTAACATTTTATCATAGTCTCGTCAGATTGGTTCCATTGTATCCATAGTTTAAAGAATATAAATTGCTAGAATCTCTGTCCTTCCTAATTAAAACATCCCTTAAAAAATTGACTCTCAAATCTCCACAGTTTGTCTGAGCATCAGTACAGAGAGGAAAAAGAAGTGGAGGGGGATAAAAAAAATAGAAAAAAAGGAAAAGCACACAGAAGAAAATAGAGATCCATTCCCTTCAGATCCCATTTAGAAAGGGCCCTGCACTTTTTAAAGTGTCAATTGTTTTTGGCTCTTGAAGTGTAGATGGAATGTTTGAATTCCAGTATTAACTGTAGTGCCTGCTGAGTTAAATTATGGTCCCTGGGCAGTGGGGTGGGAGTAATCAATAAGAATACACGAGGCGGTGTGTAATGTGTCTGCTCCAAGCAGCAGGGACACCGTCCCCCTTAGCCTGTCCCCCAGCAGGTTAGATAAATATGATACCGAAGCAGGGCACACTGGATTATATGATATCAATGTAGAATCAGGGAAGTGCTATTACACTCCCCTAGCCCACTGTGAGTACTATTGACAAGGTTGGCTTTGAACACTGTAGTGTATTGCTCACTCTTGCCGCTCTCCGGTTCCTCCTTTTTTTTCATTTTCCTCCCTGCATAATGTTAAAGAACCC